GTCTGTATTTGAGTGGAAATGATGGTCTGCTGTTGATGTTTGCGTGTGTGGGTCTGATGTTCTGCTGATGTGTTCTGCGCTTGAATACTTTGTTGGTGAGCCCTGACTACAAAAGTTGTTGTGTGGTACATTCTTCATGAGCTGGTGTTATGGATTTGATTCATCACCGTCATCTACAGACTGTAGACTTTAAGTTAAACAAGCATGATACTGTAAGGATTGTAAGACTTCAATCACTGAAGCACGCGCCTGCGCTGTACTGGGAAAAAAGTTGCAATTACTTGCAAACTACCCACAATAGCTCTATACTACACAGATTCAGCACCATGGACAGAAACACAGAAATGACAACATCAGTATTCATACTAAATATGCTTGATTTTTTAGTATTGACTGACACCACTGTCCCACATAGGACATGGAAATGCTACTTAAAACATTAAAACTATTTTTGAAGGGCGATGAGGCATCTCCCTGAACAACTAGTATTTCCAGTAGTTGTATTTTGGTAGGAACTTTCCAAAACTGTTTAGTTAATGTCCACATAAATCTAGTACCATTTCTCTCTAGTGCTGCCATAACAGTTTCCTTGCATGTTTCCATATGTCACACTGTGGTATTTATTGGGACGCAGCCTTGGTTTAAATGTTTCCACACCATGGAGAGAGAGAGAGACAACAGAGGAACGATTTCTCATGTCTGCTGTATGAGACTCAGTGTTCAACATCAACACATTCGTGTAAAGTGCTTTTCAAAAAATGTCTTCATGCTTGTAACTCTGAATCTCTTAGAGATACTGCACTTACACCATTCAGAGTAGCGTCACATGCACTGCTATTTAGTGATGATTGCTGTGCTCACAATCTTAGATGCATTCTCATGAACTCCTATTCATATTTGATAGGGTAATGGAGCATCCATTTCTCACTCAGCGGCAAGGAGAGGAAGGTGCTGCCAGCTGTGTTATTTTAAAATCTTTGCATTCGTTCATCAGCTGTTTTTCATCCGTATACACACACACACACAGCGATGGTCTCATCTTCTGTGGTGGCTATGACCTTTGACCCCTGGTTATCATTGAGTGCACAGATTAGTCATCAGCAGTGTGTCTGAGGAGCTCAAGTGGATCTGTGCAGGCGCAGCATGATGTGATTATTCCACTGACCTCTTTTCCAGTGACCACTGCCAGCAGAAAAGCATGCTTCTGAAACGTACCTCTGCGTCCACAACAACATGTTCTGCCTCTTTGTATGTGGGCGGTGGATGAGCTCAGTAAACAGAGGCTGTGATTGTTGAAACACCAACATACATGAATGCAATTACTCTAGTAACACAGCAATATTATTTTACGTACAGGTGTGAGTTTCTAAATTGAGGTGCAATCATCTTGCAGGTAATAACCCCGTTAATGAAACATTTTAGAACAGAAAGACGGATCCTTTGTGGAGGTCGTTCCTCAACTCCAAATCATTATGTGGCTGATTCATTTCCCTGCCAAGTTAATATAAAAAGCATCAGCTCGGGAGGATGAGATTGAGGGTGTCCTTAATTGTCAATTAAGGATGTATTGAAATGAGGCACGGAGTAATGAAAATTCTTTAGATTATGTTTGCTTTCTCAACCTAAATCAAGCCATCACATGTGGTTTGCAGAGAAGTCACAAATAAATCACTAATACTATTATTATGGATATGATAGAGCGCTCAGTGATGGGTTTTAGCTCTGACTGGGGATGGACCTGGTTGTGACTGGGTTTTAATAACTGATGTGTTTTTCTGCTGATTCGCTGATTAACACATCCATAATGTGCCAAATATCAAACTAATGAAAGCCATTAGCCTCCATTAATCAGGCAGAGAGAGATCCCATCATTACTTGCTCTTGTTTTCCATTTTGACGGAGAAATGGTCTCCTTCAATAAAAAATCTTCAATTTCTATCATATTTTTTTTTTTTAGTAACACCAGATCATTAAATTAGTTTTAGAGGGAATGTCAGGTGTTAAGTGTGCGGAGGCAACAGCCAGCACCTATCCAAACAGTCAGGCCTTCACAGACAGCCAACATCATGTAAACAATAGGAAATCAAATAAAGGAACCAATTACATCTGTCAGCTGTTGGGTTCTTGCAAATGGCTGGGAAGACTATTGGTTTGATGTTTTTCCCTTTTGAACAACACAACTAAGGAAAGGTTGCTATATCAATGTAAACTTGTCAGCTGTTCCCCTTACAGTATACCCTAATCTTCTCCAATTTAATGAAATACACCATTTCCTTAATCCATTGTGCAAATGTCAGAGGATTACAACCTTTCCATTTCCAATTTGTCATCTGGCTACCAGCATGACAAAAGACAAAGGCCTTTGTTTATTGTGATTTAAAATTAGATTTGATGTCACCACACCAAATAAAGCAAGGTTTTTTTTTTCAGGTTTAACACAAAAAAAAAAGCGCATCGATAACTTGTGCTGTTGAGTCAGAGGAGACACAACAACCTTTAAACCAGCTCTGTATTTTCTGTCTTCAAGTGTTCAGTTTTTATTACACATAAGATATTTTTAGTCACAGCTAATGTTGAATAACATAGGAGTTAAATGTCTAGAGAATATAATTTTTACTTGTTATGCCCTTGAACTGGAATTGTTTGCCTCACTTGTGTTAATTATCTTGAATAAAACTTTTTTCTCTTTCACTCCCGACCCTAACTCCAAAAACTGCCCCGAGGAAACTGTGTACTGGCGTGGCAGAGTGCACGAGCGGTTAGAAAGATCATTCTCAAGCCGGAGGAACTGAGTTGATAAATACGTGTCCTGCTGAAATGCCAGTGGAGACGCTATATTCATACCAAAACAATAGCTGAACTGTGAGTGAAGCAAGCTAGTTCTGGCAACTAAAGTCTGCACCTCCAGCTCCACCCCAGTGTCCAACTGTAGACTCTGGGTCTAGTCTATATTCTCTTAGGGGGGCAGTTATTATTTTCACTCCCCAATGCTGAACTTGGTGCATCCCTGTGGAGTTTGACGGGGTCACAGCTTTAACTATGTAACACTGTCACACTGTGATATTTGTACTCTTTACTTCATGGCCCATATTTCCTGTTTGAAACACCTCATTATCATCCTAGTTCCTAATCCCTCCTGTCCTGAGTTTACTTTATCCATGTGGGGAGTGATGAGGTCAGAGCCTAGATGCCAAATATCAACTCTGTAAATATTCTACATTTACATTATAATCCATTTCACTTCCTGGCTTTAGCTATGTGATTGAAGCACTACATACGATCCAGTCTGTTGCCCCTCCACCTCCATCCCTGCGTTCCCATAGGCAGGAAGTTATTATTGTCAGGCCAAATTCCTGCCGGGAAGAATTTGGTGTATCTTACATACAGTAAAATCTGTATGTATGAGTTTTCATTGTCACTCCCCAACCACCGCTATACAGAGCTCTGCTTTGTGGTTGAAACACCAAACATCTTGCAGTCCGCTGCACCTTCACCCCAGTGTCCAGCAGTAAACTCAGGGTCTATGTTCCCTTACGGGGCAAAGTCATTTATCATCACTGGTTGTGTTGAGCTTGATTTATCCTTGTGATAAGGTATCAGCCTAAAGTATGAAATATCAACCTTCCATATATTCTACATTCATGTGATAATCCATGCTACTTCCTGAGCAAAATACGTATGATCCCTTAGGGGGGGAAGTTACGATCGTCACTCCCTAATCCCTACAGCGCAGAGCTTGGCCCCTATGTTGCAGTTCACTGCACCTCAACCTCCATCCGAGTTTTCCCACCTTTAGGTTCTGAGTATATGTTACGCATATGGAGGAGGATACTATTGTCACTCCCTAATCCCTGCTGTGCAGAACTTGATGTATCCTTGTAGGGAGGGATGAGGTCAAAGCTGGGAAGCCAAATATCAACTCTGCACATATTCTACATTTACATAATAATCCATTCCAGTCTCTCACTGCACTTCCATCATGCACTGCTCTCTTTGATCATCTCAATAATGACATTTTTAATTCTGTAACGTACTGACATCCAGTGATATTTGCACTCTTTACACTCCACACCCCAGGTTCTCTTGTTGAAACACCAAACATGCCTATATGCAGTATTATCCAGTCATGATAATTTTAAAATTATGTTTTATAGCAGTAGTGTCTAGGAACTTGCTCTGCTGAACCTTTGTAATTAATCCCAAGGGCTCGTAAAGATGTTTTAACAAGATAAGGCCCAAGACAATGCCCTCCGCAGACAAGACTGATTCTACATTCAAACTTAAAAGGTGGTTTTGTTTGCTAGTGGAGGTAAAGTCAAACACAAAGACCTGCATAAACAAAATTTTTCTCTGTGCTTGTCTAAATTTCCTCAGATTGTCTAGAAAGTTACTTTATGAATCATATCTTCCAATGGCAGGAATATTTTTGCCTCCCGGCCATAAGCAAAATAAATGTGAAGAAAAAGCATTTTACAGTCAACATTCACAAAAACAACCCATTACAAAGTGCATGCACACTAGAAAATCAATGCTTGCACAGCAAATTGTAGCAGCATCCCATGCCACTTAACACACTCTGCTCTGTTCTAAGTAGTGTGTCACAAGAACTTTGACATACTTTTTGCAAGTTGCTGCCTGATAAATGTTAACATCAAACTGTGCTTACATTCACTAGTGGATCAGTTAACGGATTCTGCAGGGATTTTCTCCAAAACAGCGTGACAACAAACACAGACACTTCAGCATTTAGGAGCCGAGGGAGGTTCTAAACTAAAAGTCTGAGAGACGCCCGAGGCATTTCGTGTTCCAGAGAGAGACAATCCATTCCTCTAGCAAAGAACAGGCTTTAACGAAATATTCTGTATTTAAAGGGGAAAGTTTTTTGGGAAGTGGAGTATAGACTGTGTCTTACTGTCTCCACGTTAGTTCCTAACAGCATCTGCAATGCAAGTAACACAAAGATTTCTCACCAAAAAAAACAAAGAGAAATGAGGACTCACCAAGAGGCTGTCCAGCGATGATACGGGCATTTTCTCCTGCCACAGCCGCCCGAGCGTTCCTCTCGTTCAAGTACTGTACGAAGGCATAACCCTTGTGTACAGAACAACCCACTATCTTTCCGTACTTGGCAAAGATGACCTCTATATCGGTCTTCTTGACAATGGCTGTGTTGAGGTTGCCAATAAAGACTCTGGAGTTGAGGGAGCGCGGGTCATTCTTGTTGGTCACGTTGCTTGTCTGGGTTTTACCAGTCATTCTCCTCCAGTTGCCCTCCTGGGACACAGACAGAGGGGAGGACAGGACTTTAGAGGTTTTGGACAGGCCAACTCCAGCTAATTCTGCTCCTGAAGAAAACATTATAGAACCCCAAAGTGAATTAAATCGGTAAAATAAGACATTATGAAATAAATAAACATATAGTGAAATATATGAATGAACCACAAAATCAAATAATTTAATGAATATAAAAACTCATTATCATGAAATGGTATTTTATCATTCTCTTTTGATAACATATGCTCCCAGCGACGACCAACCACGCTGCCTTACCTCGCTAGCTCCTGTTGGCGAGAGAAACCACAGAGAAAGACTGTGTTTTAGCTCTTTAGAGTTTCATGTCTTTTGATGAACATCTTTAAAATCACAAGTCTGCCAAGTTAACTTTGAATTAACCAGTTAACTGCTGCCATTCACAGTGGCTCTTCACTTTGAGCTTTCACTGAGCTAGTTAGCTTGTTAGCCAGGGAGGCCGGTGGCATGTAAGTAACATCTGCTACCGTATGACATTTAGCATGTGAGCTAGCTCCTGCTAGCTAGAACAACAACAATGCCAAAGTAATATGGAATGAATGCTTTAAACACAGTACACAGACAACTAACTCACCTTTATTACCTTCACATGCTACTTACCTCACTAGCTAACTCCCTAAACTGGTTACAGAGTTTGGGTTAACTGTTAAATTTAGAGTTATCTCAGCAGTGTTGTGATCTTAAAGGTGGTTTCTCAGAGAAAGGTATAGTCTTTGTAGTTCTCTAGCTAACAGCTAGTTAGCCACTTTGCTAACTAAAATAAACTGGGGTTTGTGATAGCCTAAAAAGGGGGGAGGGGGGGGGCAGAAAATGGTGACATGAAAACTGATATTACGAAATAAAATGTGACATGAAATAAAATTGTCACTGGTAAAAATGCCTGAACTCTGAAATAAAAATGGACACTTTAAAGTAGAGGTTTGAAAACAAATAATAATGTGAAAATAAAAGTGATAAAATAACATTTCATATTAATAAGTTAATACATTCAAAAAGAATTTCACAATTTATAGCTTTTTTTTTTTTTGCATAATTACCTCTACTCATTCATATGATTATATATTTCATAATGTCTTTTATTAAGATCAAAATCAATCACCTTTGATGGAAATACACACTTTTTGTTGATGAAGGCTTTTGTTGATGAAGGTTTACACTCTTGCACTGGCCAGTCAACTGCTTACCTAAGCCACATTTTTGCATGGTTGAAATGCTACCGCTGCATGGCTGAGTTGGAGAATTAGAGGGAGCATCAATGTGTGAATGCTGCAGCAGTTTTCTCTGTTTTGTTGAGAAGCCGAATACAGTGGCTATCAGTGAGAAAGCTTTGCTATCTCAATACCCATATTGTTGCATCCCTAATGCTTTGTGTGCCGTTTCACGGATCACAGAATGCGTGGGCTGTAATTCATGTTGCAGTTTTATTCAGACTTTTTTTGTGCTGTCAAGTTATCAGCGCACATTAGCCTCAGCTTTTGTAAGTCTCCCCTGAAATTATTTCTAAGTGTCCTATTCATCATCCGAATGTTATTTTTTGTGAAAGGTGATTGGCTGCAGAGTCAATGAAATTATACCTACCCAAGGAAAGGATGCACTACTCAGCTATTCAAGTTCTATATTTAATTAGTTATCTTGAAGGAGATTGATAGACACATAGCCCAGATAAATAGATCCCACATACGTCTCATTGCTTTTCCAATTGATTTTCTTTTTAATGGAAGCACATGATTTCATTTTTTATAGCTGTAGAAATCCAGGTTTTCATTACAGTTTATATTCCAAAAGGGATTACACTTAGTGCATTAAATACTGTGAAATATTGTGAAGAAAAGACTGAATATTCAATATTTGCCTCCTCTGAGTCTGTGTCCCTGACACACGCTGATAACAACTATTCAGCTTTAAGAAGAAGAACCTGAATAATGGATCCAATCCTCAGTAAACAGGATTAGTAACCAAGGTAACACTGATGTTGCTGGAATATTATGCACACACACACACATGCACACACATATTTTCTCACTGGAAAATAGTCTCTTTTTATTTTTTTATATTTTATCCAACTTAATTTTCCACTGCAAGAGGCTACTGACACTGTGTGGCCTCAGTATCTTCACAATTACATGATGCAGTTTTCCCGTGAAGTGCTATACTGTAACGGGTTCGTTCAGCTAATTATAGCGTGGCATGAGATTATGTCGAAATCACAGCAAGAGCATTGTAAAGCGGAAACTGAGTGATGGTTACGTTTCACTGTAAGGTCGCTCGTTCTGTTCCTGCAGCGGATGAAGGAGTAAACTGAGCGGTCATCCAGAAATGCGAGAGCAGCCATTTGATTTACAGGGCAGAGATTCTCTGTCGGGGCAACCATTACACCTGAGACTGCGATCATGCTACACATTCAGCTGCTCATTCATGGATGAACGCACATTATTTCACTTGGCAGCACATGTTTTTAGCATTACATCACCCACAGACTCTAATGCTATTCACTTTCCTGTAATTATTCAACACCCACTACAGGTGCGTGATGATTCATGACTCTTATGGGCTCGCTGTTTACAGTGCTGCACCAGTGTGTGTGTGTGTGTGTGTGTGTTGTCTCGGCATGTGCGTGTGTGTGTGTGTGTGTGGGAATAAACTGCTGCTTGCCATCTCTGAAGTGACCTTGACATTTATCAGCACCAGACACTGAAAATTAATGTGGCGTAGGCACACACACACACACACACACACACACACATACATGTGCGAACTCAAATGAGCCCCACAATGACCACCTGATGGTAGTTTAAACCCACAATGTGACACCCATGCCGTAGTTATGTCTGTGGACAGGTCACAGGGAACATGACAAATCAGTGGAGAAGGGTTAGATTGCCTCTCTTGTCAGATAAATCAGCGGTGGGGTGAGCGGTCACGGACCCCTTTTACCGCTCTCTACTGTTATATTTCATGTTGTCTTCTCTGTTGTTTTCTTTAGAGCGGGACGCTAATTTATTCCATCAGTGGTTTTCCTGCTGACCTTGCCTTTTAGTTTATTTACAACCTCCATTAAGCTTCACATCCCACGAAGTGATAGCGCCACGATGAGAAACATGGGAAAACAACAGAGGAAGTGATAGGCAAACGGTAGTGTAATTGGCAAAATAATTGTTCCAAGGACTTGACATTTGTTATCAAAAAAAAAAAAGGCACAAAGAGGAGCTTCATCACAGAAACACAGTCTGCAAACTGCTTTTTAGAGGGAAAATGATGATCTGGTGTTCAAAACCGGCTCTTTAAAAACGATTACAGCTTCTACAGTACTGCTTTTATTGTCAGTATAGGGCAGAAGACAGTTAAGTCTTCGTTCTGGCATTACTGCCTTTAATACGGTACAGAAAAGCATCCCAATCTCATACCAATATAAAAAAAAAAAAAGAAGAAATATGGATAAGGTCAGCAGAAAAAGCACCAAGGTCATGTTGCTGACAGCAATGCTGTGTCGGGATCGTTGTAGAGTGGGGAAAAAAATAAGGGATTTACTGTAGAGCAGAAGTAGCCATATTACTGAGCTCTCCCTCGCCTTGCTCTGTAATGCATTGTGCCTTTGTAGACAGGCTCTTAAATGGTTGTTGTTTGGGTCTGGCCACCTGCCTGATTTATAGACATTTTTTCATGGAGGGAGGGAACTCATTGAATTGATTCCTTTTGTAATTTCCTACCACTCCACCACTGTACATTGCTCTTTGCCATGCCTCAGCCACTCTGCTCTGATTGTTGCCAAGGCAGCTTGACGGGGCTGAGGAAAAGGCTGGAGAGGCTGCTCACTGAAACAGAACACAGAAAGGTAGCCCGATACACCTTTTCTCCACTGGTGTTGCTGCCATGCACCGCAGAGGTGGAATAACTGCGTCATGGATTCTTTCCATTTATATCTTGTCTTAAAATGTGTCTCTCTGCCTCTGAAAGCAACGGCAAAATTCCCTCTATTTGTAAATCAATGCCTCTATTTGTATTGCAGGCTGCAGAGCATTTTCTGTGGTGTACCCAGCCATAAATGTGTGTACTTTTGTCACAGGCCTAAGCTTTTCTGCCCCACAGTGACAATTGTGTCTGATTTTGAGGTAAAGGAACAGTTGCATGGATTTAATTTAATATCAGAACGCAGCAGAATGGCTTTAAGGCAATGATATGCCATATGGTACGTTCTACCTCTCAACCTGCCTCTTGAAAAATAAGTTTAGTCTTCAAGACAGACGGACAAAAAAAAACTAATTTTCCCCACGTTTTCAATCAGTTGCTGCCCTTTGGTTTCAAAGGAGTCAAGGCGCACGGTGTTGAAGCTGAAATTCAACTCGGCAAGTAGACAGCCGCAGCACAGACGCGCTGTAAAAAGAAAAGGAACAGCTCTAATTTTTCCAGCCAAGGGTTCATGAAGCACTGTAAAAAAGCATAAATGGATTACAGTGAACGGGACATTTACACAGCACTACTATTTATGACTACAACTCAGGGGGATTATTCAGCACAATATCTTGAGGCCAGTGCCTTTCTATTTATAATGGTGCGAGGAGGCGTCAAGGGGTGTGTTCCTTTTGTCTACTGCCCTCAACCAGGGAGCTTTAATGTTTGCATCGTATTTGATAATCATCTTCCGTGCTCGTTGTAGAAGAATTCTGGATCTGATATCAACATGTGCGTGTTTTCAGTGTGAGTATATTTAGGAAGAAGCCAGCAGGTGGGGAGAGAGAGAACACACATCTGGGCTGTATTGTTTTTGTCCGCACGATTGTGTTGACCTGCTTTTTTTTTTGTTTGTTTTTCGTTGATTTTTGCGCTTCCACCATTGGTCCGTGAATGAATGATGTGAACGAATGCTGAGCGATGTGCAGTTCGAGTCACGGTTCCAGTTTGAATGATCGTTTTTTTTGCATTTTTCCCTGAAAATTAAAAACAAAAGATGATGATGATGATGTGAT